TTTCCTGTAGTGCAAAGAAGGTGGCTTTCCAAATGACCTTTGGCTCAGCGTCAATACAGAGAACGTGTCACTGTACAAACGGGGGGAGCCGAAGCCTCTGGAAACTTTCCAGTATGAGCAGATTATCTTCTTCGGAGCTCCCCAGCCCAACACCTTCAAGCTAACTGTGGATGAAAGAGAGATGTACTTTGAAACCCCCCAGGTACATTTTAGGGAATTCTTGTCTCAAGAATTCAAGCAGCCTCAAGAATGACTCTTCTAAAGCAAGATGGGCTAGACCAGTGGTTCTCCAACATTTTGGACTCAGGGCTCCTTGACATTCTTAAAAATGATTGAGGACCCCAAAAAGCTTTGGTTTTTGTAGGTTCTATCCATCCATCCATCCATCCTGTATTAGAAATGAAAACTGAGAAATGTTAAAATATTTGACTTGCGGACCCCTTGAAAGGGTCTCAATGACCTCCAGGAGTCCCCAGACCACACTTTAGGAACCGCTAGGCTAGACAAAGTATATGGTATAGCAGCTAATTATGTAACTAATTGGGAAATTAGGTGGCTGCTAAGCACATCAGGCAATCCCTTCATAGACCAAGTTTTCCTTCTGCTGTTTGCTCCAAATCCAGAACAGAAAACAGGCTAAGACCTTCTAATATATCTTAGGGTAATCTTGGGTAGATAGGCAAGGGCTTCTGAATTTTTGAGCAATAGCAAGTAAAATAGTCTTTTAAAACTGCCATAACGTACTCTGGATATATTTTTGTATGTGAGAGGAGGAATTCCTTTTCTAGGATGATGATAGCCACACAGATTCATTTTTTACACGTTTATTTATATATATCAAGCTCTAAAATGGGCATTTTAAGCGTTTACTAAAAATTTGCAGAAAGATAGAATTCTAATAAAATAATGACCCTAAAAACAGTTTAGCAACAATAGTATCAGAAAAGAAAGTTTTAAGTAATTACTTGATTAAGCCACTCTGATACCTTCTATGTGTATGTTGAATTTCATCTTCCATTATTTCCAGCCAACACAATTGTTATCTATGCCTAATGGAAATTATGGATGCTGCATATCAGTACACATCTGGGGAATGCTAAATTGTGCATTGTAGGCTTACGTTTCAATCACGGTGTATAATGCTGATTTACAAAATTATGTATTCAACTTGTCTTTGGACACTATGAGGAACCACAGTGATTTCCTGGTCTACGAAAGGGTTCTGATTATTCTCTCCTCTTATTTCAATAGGTAGGAGAAATAATTAAGATCATGAAGGCCTATATCAACATGATTGTGAAGAAATGCTGTAGCATCAGATCAGCCACCAGCTTGGACAGCCATGCAAGTATCTGGATGAGGTGATTAGGTTGGTGGAGTTAATTGAGCCACTGAGAAAGCCACGTGCTGTGGCTCAGCCAGATTTGTAGCAGATTCTTTTTGTAAGAAAACATTACTTCATAACTCTCCTTCCAACATATTGCCTGAGAGATACATAAAGGGATAGAGTTGACATCCAGAGCTTTCATAATTAAAATTACAACCACGCAGGCCAGTAACCTGAGGCAGTTTTATGTGGGAGCCCACTCTTTCCCTGAGCCCATTCTTATGGGACAGATCTTACGGCAAGGAAAAAGCAAGAGCCATCTTCGCCTGAAGAATCATCATATGAAGACTTTTTCTGCAGTAAAAGCAGCAGAAGAATGCTAACCTAGTACCTGCAAGAATTCCACATCGGGAAGAGATGGAAGTTCTTTTGTTAGTTCTGCATTGGGTGGGGCTTGTGATTCCCCAGAAATGAGCTGCTACATTTGAACAGACTTCATTTTTGCAAGACTGTTACCATCACCGGTGGCTTCAAGTTGATGACTTAAAACTTCCAAATCTGTTTTCAGTACTACTTCTATAAGAAGCTACTTCATGTTCAGCAGGCATGGATATACTTACCGAGGCTTGGGACTCCCGTTATGTGGGAGATCAGCTGTTACACGGCTGCATAGATGTAATGACATGGCACTGTTCCTTCTTCAAGTCCTTTGTAATTTTTCATGCTGCATGTTTGGGGAAGTGCCACTTAATAGAAAAACATTTATCTGGTTCATTCAGAGGATAAGGTCACATTTTGTATCCTGTATGCTGCAGTTCTCTTTCTTCCTTGGCAAGGAGTTTGGACTTTATATTTTTAAAATGTTTTTCTGCACTGCCATCATATGGAAGCAATGGGAAGAAATGGTGGTAAGATGGACAGAAATAATGGATTTCTACTCTAAACTTAGCCTGAGTACATCCTCCTCTGGTCTGATGCCTCCAGATACATTGATGGAATTGTAACTGAACACAACTAAAGGGTGCCGGGCTGGAAAAAGATGCTCTCAGGCTAAGGTTAAATGTGCTTTGTGTAAAAAAATAGCACATTGGTTCACTTGCACTGAAAATATTTTTAAAAAACCCTAAATGAAATACTGTAATAAAATACTCCAAATTCCTTACTAAGAAAAGAGAAGCTCTGAACCTTCAATACAATTTGTGCAAATTAAACAGGTTTATCTTTAGATCTAATTTATCTGGATTTGGTAGCAACAAGAAATAGAAGAAATTAGGCACAAGATGAAGCTCCTGTCTCAAAGTATGAAAAACTGGCTCACCCGGTGCTGTCCAGATGCTTTGGATTAGAACTCCCCCAGTCCCTTTCTAGTGGCCATGGTGGCTGGGACTAAAGAAGAATCAAAATATCTAGATGGCACAAGGTTATCAAACATCTGTGAAGTATTCTTTCACAGTTTTAAGGGTCAGGATCTTATTAAATATAATTGGGACGCCCAAGCCCTTGAATTGTGTGCTCTTGCCCAATCCTGCATTTATATTACTTTCTGTCATAGTACAAATGTTTCCCATTCCAGAAAATCCTGATGTTTCTCACTCCTAATGCAGCTAAGCAACATCTCCCAAACTGGGCTTCCTCCTGATGGGTGAAGTTCAGTTCTTGGAGTTCCCCAGGCTGAGGAATGCTGAACTAGAGAGAGCTGCCTACCATCTTCTGGAAATGTCTAACAATGTCCAGGCTTCCCAGAACCCAAAGAAAATCCTTTGCAAAGGATTTCCCAAGCAGTGACCTTCCTTTCCCTCCTGTCCCTGGGATTACAAATGTGGGACCATGACCATGTGAAGAAATTTCCTGGTAACAGGATCACAATTGCCATCTTTTTAAAGAGATTCTCTGCCACAATGGAAGAACAATTAGGGGCACCCCCAAAGATTCTGTGCATGTTGTGTAATTGCATCAGTCAGGCTGGACCTAAACATCACAATTAATCTCTCTCTAGACGTTGCCTTAATATGCCATGCTGAGTCCCCTTCAGTTCCCCTTCCTTGCCTCTTTTCAGTTTCTGAAAGTGGAACAGAGGAACTGGTAGAAGAAACACTTGATCTTATTTTTTGGTCCAATACACTGACCAGGACTAGGACAGGCTTCCTCAACCAAGTGCCCTCCTAATGGATCCAGAATGTCCAGTCGGTGCAGCTGGTATGTTGTAAATTGGAGCGTACCAATTAGTTTCCACACATGTGGAGGGCACCATTTGGAGGAATCCCGGACTTCAGTCTTCTCAGTATATTCTTCTGCTCCCTTGAACCTGCAATACTACTGCTATACATCCTGGCTCATGGGTTGCTGCAGGCAGCTAAAACCCAATTGGGAATGTAACAGACATTAACTGTATTGCAGATTTGTTTCTGCACTTCTTTGTTTAATTTGTAACTGGCTTTACAAAATTGAGGTTTAATAAATTATTGATTGCATAATTATTTTCCTTTAGTTTTTTGTTTACAGGCTTGGTTTGAATTGCAGTGAAATACCTAATTTCTAGTGATTTTTTTCTTCGTGACTAGCACTGCTTTTCACACACGTATACTCCAAAGCATTGATTATATCTAAATAAAATTTGATGGAAAAATGCATTGTGATCAGGATTTGGCTGAGGCTATTAAAGAAGCTCTCCCTATGCTGGTGGGCCATATCTTTGTAATTTAAAAAAATCACTTCCAGGGGAAGAAGGATTAGCACAGGCTTACTTAGAATGCTGTATTTATGTTGATTTCCCATATGACTTGCTAAACCCCCATCTAAGCTCCTGAACAGATCAGCCTTATGTGACCTGGCCTCATCCAATTAAATTGGACTGTAACTTCTAGTTCATGCCTCAATTTTTCTTTATACCTGTTCATAAGTTTTTAGAACATTATGAATGCTCTTATCAGTGACAGCTCAAAGCAAAATAGATAAAACAGGCCCTAGGATGAGCACTCCAGAAATTTCAACCTTCTATTATCTTTCCACTAACATGTTTTGTACAGAACTCTGTACTGTTATCAGTTAAATGACAGTAAAACTTTATCATTCTTCCACAAGAGGATTTTTTTAATGTAAACAGTCATAATCTACTATATCGAAATGCATGGCAAGGCTGCAAAAACAATCCTGATGGTGTTCTCTGTCATGTTTCCACCATCTCTGCTCTCACCAATTCGTGTGCCAGGCTAAACTGACAGGGGAGCAAGTTCATAAGCCATGCAAGGCACCACGAAATGCACTGTATAGATCTAAGCCCCTGTACTTCACTTCTAAGTTGGTTGCCTCTCATTTTCCCTGAAAGACTGCTATTGATACAGGAATGGGCAGCCAGGAGGACAGTCCTGTGGAAGAGGAAGGTGCTTTTGCTAATGGCACCACTATCAAGTAAGACAAGTTAGTTTATTAAGGGGAAAACTGGAGTGTACTGTTAAAGAAGCCACATAGATAATTATCTGCCAAAGGCAGATAATAGCCCCACAGATAATATCCGAGAGGAAAATATTCTTTTAATTTGAACTGAGAAGTTACATGTTGCCTTCCATTAGCATGTGGAGGCTTCTGATAATGAGAGAAACACTTTGGTAATGGGTTCTCATTTCCATTACTGGCCATCCCTATAGTTCTGAAGATGCACCCACAAATGACACCATCATCACAGCCAGGAAACTCTGGTCCAGAGGCTATTGAAGCATACTTTTTATTCCACAAGAGCTCACAAAAGAAGGCACAGCAAATAGCAGCCAATAACTAGCATCTGGAGAGCAGCTCTAGCTATACAAATGCATCACTTTACCAACACTTGGGAAATGCACAGGGAAACCAAGTGTATTTTCTTCCAAGGAGCCATGGATTGGATTGAGATTAGTTTATTTGAACACAGGGGCTCCCTGGCCTAACAGCTAAAATTAAATAATGATGAAGTCCCCTGCAATTTAGTGAGAGAAATACACATAGACCAGATCTAATTCATGGCCCTTAAAGAAGGTGATGAACATTCTGAACAATTTTAGCGATAACATCGGTGAACTGGCAGCTTGTGGATCTATAGCTAATCTGGAAAGGCTCGCAGACGGCTTTGGCAACACAAATATTGAGGCAGGATGGAAGGAAACAACAATACAACCCTGTTCTGGTCCCCAATAGGAAACAACTCTCACAGTCTCATCCACCACAGGAAAGAAAAAAAAAACTATCCTGCTCTGCATACCCCAGCTTCCTCATTTGGGTCCTCTGTATGCGATTTCCAAAGGCAGTCCAAACTCAGCTAGACACACACACACATACACACTCCAGTTCTGGAAGGCTGCACGCACCAGACATGTCCCTCTTCTGGTCTCATTAGGGAATATTTTCCACTCTGCCTCCTGGCTGCAACCAAAACACACACACACACATACACACAGCCCAACCAGGTCTTTGATCCTAGACTGGAAAAGCTGCCATAGAATGTTTGTGGGAGGGGCTGAAAGGCAACCCCCCTCCCCAGCAGGAATAGCAAAACACTGCTATTCTCCATTACCTGGGAATGGGGAGTGGAACCAGGAAGCCTAGCTCCTGCATGGGCCTTCACTCTCAGCCACTATTCCGCACCATCAAAAACAAACAAGCTAGTCAATAGTGAGGCCCCAGCTTGCAGTAGTGGGGATTTTCCTGTCCACAGGGCTAAATCCAGCAAGGTGTTCCCCACCCAATTCCTCCAGCACGTAGCATGCCCTGGGGGAACTCAGCCACAGAGCTTTCTTTCTTGAGAGAGGCCCTGACAACCTCTCCGCAGCCCAAGCTGAGAGCTGGTTTCTGTCAAGGGAAGAACAGCTCAGGACTGCATGCCCGTCCACCCTCTCTCACTCTGCTGAAGGACAAAACTCAGAACGGACCACGTTTGGAACGAGGAGTGGCCACAAAACCTAAGCCCTGGGACTGCTTTGCCAGTAACTGCTACTGATGGAAGGAAAGCTGGCATTCAAGAAGCGATGACTTTAGGGCTGAGATTTCCAAAGCAGCCAGAAGCTATCGAGAGGTGGAGTACACTAGGCTGCTCCAGTACATAGATGTGACAGGCTAGCTAGGATCACCTCTGCCTCTATGGCTTCTACAGAAAGAAGGAAGGGAAGATTTCAGCCTATTTTAATTAGGAAACAACATCTGCCAGGCCACTCTCTCTCGTGTACCAAACCCAAGTAGTGTTGGACAGGAACAAGAGTCCCTTGGCAGGCCAACTGCAGCAGCAGCAGCAGCAGCCCAAGGCTGGAAGGCGACAGGATACACACGTCTCTTCAACTCACACCCAGCCGGCGCAGGATTCTTTACCCAGGGGTGAGCTGAGGATAGCTTGCCAGCACAGCCACCTCGCTACAGCAGACATGAGCTACTGTCTGCCCTCTGATACAATATGCTTTGCTTTCCCTTCTTAACCTGCACAGAGATGTTCTCTAAACTCCTTTTAGAAAGCCGAGTTGAGGGGGAGGGATTATCGGGTATAATCCTACACAGCCAAGCAGCAGCAAGGAGCTGGGAAAGGATATCAAATTGGGGTTGTGCCTGCGCTTGTGTGCTTCCATAGAGAGGGAGCAGGGAAGACACTCAAGAGCCCGTCACCTCTCAGCACTGTCATTCCTGGCATCCCCTCCTCTCTTGCCCACATCTCAGACGCGGAAGCCCCTGCTATTCCCAGAGGGATCTGATGCTCCTACGCCTGGCCTTTCCTCTCACAGCAGAAAGGAGATTTGGGAATGGAAGAGAAGCCTCGATTCAAAGCAAACCCTTCAGCCAGTAGCTTCTGCCAGCCCTTTCATAACACATCAGCCCAGGAAAGGAAGTCTCCTTCCTTGTGCTCAGATGACCCAAAGGCACCACGTGCGGCAGAACAGGAGAGAAAAAACAGTGACGGGAGAAAGAGAGGCTCACACCTAATCGGCGGATGCATTCGGGGCATGCTTCCCATCCACCCTGCCTTTGGCCTGGAGAATCAGAAAGGCTTTCTGCTATCTCTCACGTACTTTGGCAGTAGCAAATAGTGCTATTGGCATGGAGAGCACAGCCTTTGCTGGCAAGAAAAGCTGGCTCCCTCCAAGGTCGGCGTGGAGGATGGGGATACGCTAGCCCTGACAAGGAGCCACACATGTCACTTACACAGCCTCACCCGGGGCTCAAATAGTAAAGCCAGAGCTGTCCTGAGCAAGAACATCAGCAGCCGGTCCAATGACTACTGGGAGAAGATGCCTTTGAAACGGATCTTGTCCTCGTCGTCTTTTGCACGCAGGCGAGCCTCCAAGCTGCGCAGCTCCCGAGTCACCACCGGGGCCAGCGATGGATCCAGCTGCAAAACCTTGGCGAAGTCGGCCTGAGCCTCAGCTGCATTCCAGACAGCGGCATGAGCCTTGGCTCTCTTGAAGTAGGCCTTGACGTTATCTGTGGGGGGAGTGGCCACTTGAGTAACCCAGGCAGGCTCCACAGCCTGATGCCAAGGCCACCTGGGGCCTGCCCTAGTTTCTGCCTTGATCTTTCTCCTCCCCATTAGATCCCTGAGCCACAGTTTGGTCTTCTCTACCCTTCACACATACCGTGGCTCCTCTCTAGTGCACAAGCCTCCTTACCTTCGTACTTGTTGAGAATGGAAGAGCAGTGATCCAGCACCTCATAGTACTCCTCACTCAGCAGCTTGCACTGGCAGTAATTCAACAATAAAGGAGTGATCTGTTGATCCAGCTGGATCCAGTCCGGAGATCCTGGCTGCTCCTATGGCATGGAATAAGAGAAAAGTCACAAAGCACGGGTGAGTTGTGGCAAGGTCTGTCCCACAGACTAGAACGCTTGTAGGCTGGCCTGGGACAGAACTGCTTGTGGTGGCAGCAAGGTCAAATCCACGTGTGGCCAAGTCCTTATGAAATGAGGAGAGAGATGGAAGATATGGCAAATAGGAGGGAGGACCTGAACCTTTCCCACACAAAGCTGCCTGTTTGTCTTTCTCTGACAAGGACTCCATCCCATCTTGAGATGGAATGATGAGGAAAATTATTTCAGATGCCAATTTCTGCAGGAAAACATAGGCCAGGGAGGGGAAGGAAAGAACAAGGGGCAGATTTCATCCTGCACACGGGTCTGCTAGTATCATGTCAAATTTGGCCCAAGAGCCTTTTTAGGTAGGTGACCTGATGGAGAGAGAAATCGTGTGTACCTTGACAAATTATGTTACAGAGGGAATTCTGGCTGCTCCTCAGATCCTGTCATAGAGTTGCAGGAGTGAGGAAGAGTGCTACTGCTTTGATATAATTACTCGGGGTATACAATCCCTCTCTCTAATTGGAACTGAGCCAGGAGTGCCTCAGAGTAGTTGAACAAAAATGGTTTGGATGATTCAGGAGGGGTCCTTCTTACTGGGGTGAGTATGTGGAAAGTGGGACAGGTGGAGTTTAGGCAAGTTTTTTCAGATGTGGGCACATCTGGAATTTGGAGAATATGTGATAGGTACATGCATTCACAACAGAGCTGCCAGGGGAGACTTTTCTAGTAACAAATCCATTTAGGCACCCAAGAATTAGCAAATTAGCCACCTAGGATGCTACAGGGACTCTTTGTTGGGCCCAAAGGCCTTGTTGCCTAATAACAACAGCAGCAACAATGCACTTTACACTGCAGAATACCAATTTCCTTGGCTATTTTTAAAAAACTGAATAATCTTCATAAACTCAGGTGGGATAGGGAACTTGGTGGACCCCAAAGGTCACAACTGGAGGCACACTGGTGATCACAGCTGGCACTCCTCCTAACCCTGGTTTAGGCAAAATAAACCTAGTGTTGCATAAGTAGGAACTCGCTGACTGAAAGGAAGAAGTCTCATGGAAGCTCTCCCTCAGAGAACTTGTTGAATCTAGGGCGAGAAATTGTTCTGGGTCAGGCCGAGCTTTAGCTAGTTATGCACGTGACCTACAAGCTACATTTGTACCTGCACAATGAAAGTGAGTTAGGAGTTCTGCTAGATCTAGAGCGGAAGTCCCTCATCGACTTGGCACTGGCTCCCCTGAATGGTATTCTAGTGAAACAGCTCCCAGCTGGAGAGAGGTGCTGCAGGGCAGCCCCACCATCAGTCACCTTCATCTGCAGGTTCTTAAGGCAAGCGATAGCATCGTAGTACTTGGCAGCAGCCTCCTGCACTTTGCCTTCCTTGAAGAGCTCATTGCCCTCCTGGTGGATCAGGGGCACAGCCTTCATCTTCTCCTCATCCGACATAGCCCATGGATCCTGCCGGTACGTGCCCGGGCTTTCCACCTGGTGTGGCACAAGGCAACAAGCATGGTTAGATCACAGAGACAGAGAAACCAGGCCCCTAAGAAGCAGCCTGCTTTTGGTCAGAACCAGCACAGCGGAGTGGGAAAGGCATTGGACTGGCACCGGGGAGACCCAGATTTAAGTCCATTTTCAGCCACAGAAGCTGCCGGGGTGACCTGGGGCCTGACCCAGCCTATCTCACAGGGAAGTTACCATGAGGAAAAATGGGACGTGGGAGTGCTGTGTATGCTGCCTTGAGCTCCTGGAGGAAAGGTGAGGTATGTATGTAACTAACAAATGAGTAAAATAAATAAAAAGCTGTCTCAAAGTTGAAGAGGTTGGTGCAGCGTAAGAGGGAAGAAGAGGACTTGCGTTTCTTCAGACGGCTTCTTTCTCTCTGTAGGATGGCAAAAAGCATGCTGCCTTTCCCCCTTAAAATGAGACCCAACAAAAAGATGGCAAAATTCTCTCATGTGCTTGTGCCAGGAAAAAGACTAAGCCACACCACAGCTATCCCAACGTCTATCTGAAGGCATCTGCCTTCTCCTTGCTTCGTGCAGCCATGTGCTCATGTAGGTAAAAGACTCCCAAACACGTGAAGCCCAACCACCCTTCTGATTCTGTCTAGCCCAGAGGACCTCACCTTTCCTTCCCCCTCACCTTGAGCACTTCAATGGCAAAGATGAGGGGCTGGGGGTTTTTCTGGAGCTCATCAAGGTCTGGGTAACCCAGCGAATGATGCTCATGCATCTGGGCAATGCCACAGCAATGCCGCTGTCCCTCCAGTGGATCTTTCCCGGCTGCGATGTTCCTCAGGCTCTTGGACACCATCGGATATAAGACCACGTGCTGGGGAAGCAGGAGAGGGGAAGACAAATGGGACAGCCGTGAGGGAATGAATCTACCTCCCCAACTAGGAAAAATGAGCGGCAAGCGCATGATCTGAAAGAAGGAAACCCTGCATTCCTTTACTCATGCCAGAGCCAATATCAGATCGAGGTCCCTTTACGTTTGAGCCACAACAGAAGAACGTGGGAAGGGACTATTTTCCTACTCCTAACACTCACTAACATTCTGCACTGCAAAACTGTGTTTCCATGTACACCACTTGCTGCTTTCTTTTACACAGTCTTAATCTGTAAGGGGCAAAGTTGCACATATACGTTTTACGTCATTTTACTCTGTAAGGGACAAAGATGCACACATATAAGAAAGAAGTCATTCTTCCTCTTTACTCTGTATTAGCCAGACAAACCTAAAATAGTGTCCACCCCTGAGCATTGCGTTTTAGGGAGGACCTTGACAAACAAGGGTGACCAGAAGACAGCAACGTGGCCTGGAAGGAAAAACGTATGAGGAACAGTTGGAGATGGTGGACATGTTTAGCCCAGAGAAAATTGTGGGGACACCTGATAGCTGTCTTCAAGTATCTGAGGGATCCTCCTGCAGAAAATGGGGCAAAATTGTTTAGAGCTGCTCCAGAATAAGAAATAATGGGTTTAAATTATAAGAAAGTAGATTTCAGTTGAACATCAAGGAAACTTTTCTAACAGTACAATCAGTTCGATAGCAGCACAGACTGTCAGGGACATGGTGGAATTTCTTTCACTGGAGTGCTGAGATGGCCATCTGTCTGGAATGCTGTAGTCGTGGATTCCTGCACTGGGAAGGGGGTTGGGCTAAATGATCTCCAAGTCCCTCCCAACCTTACATGCTAGGACTGTATGAATTCTCTGCCAGATTCTCCCCAAAAGCAGGAATGGGAAATACCTTTGTGTCACACAAGAATTCAGCCACCTCACCCTCCTGCATGCTGTGCAAGATGGTTTCCCAGACAGGCAGCTTGAATTTCTTGCCGATGATCAGCTCCATAGGCTTGTCCCGGGTACGACTATCATCTAGAACTTTCTGATCTGAACTGCAAAGCATTGTGCGATAGTGGAAAGTAATCTGAAGAGAACCAGAAGCAGAGCAAGTGAGTAGGTCACACCACTGATCTACCAGAACAGACTATGTCAGGTATTTTAAGTCATTTCTAGTATGGAGTTCAAGGATGCTGATTTAATATAGAATTGACCACATTGCAAAGACACAGAACATTTGGTGAAGGTGAAAACAAGGTTGGGATTGTGCAACGCTCTGTCTCCAAAGCTGAAAAGATGCTTCAAAGCAGGCCATTTTGCAACACACTAGTTAGCACCTCCTTAAAGAATCTTCATCTTCATCTTGAATTCTCCTGGTAGCGTCACGATGTCAAGAAAATACGCCCTGGAGAGTTACTGAAGCAGTGTGTCCTGCTCACTCCGAAGCACCTAGTTGTACCCTGTTTGACTCAAATGCATATTTTTCTTTGATTACGTGGCTACTGCACTAACCCTGGGAAAGAGGTGGTTTCTTTAAGGACGTGCCAACAGGTATGCATGCACACCCATACCTGTTTCAGCTCTGGAACCAAAACACTGCATTTCTTGAAGAGCAACTAACAGAGATTTTTAAAAAGACCTGATGACTGACCTATCGATACCAAGAAATGGATTGCTCAAGTGGCAGAGCGCAGACCAGCCAAGTGGAACAGAAGCATTTTTGTCAAATGTAAAGAAGCCCAGCTGGCAGACTGGGCTGCCTCCTTGGGCCACTGAAGGGGAAAAACACTATCTTGGATGTGGAGCAAGAAAACTCAGTGAGGGTCACCTTCCCAGCAGCCAATGCCATCCATTCCTCCCCTCTGAATACGGCAGCTGGCCCATCCCAACACTGGGGCAAACAGATAGTGCAGAACAGCCCCATATACCACTCGAGGGGCTTTTCTGGCTGAACAGTATGGTATAAATTGTTCAAATAGGTATGCAAGGGGGCAGCTCCATGCTCACATTCACCCAAATTGATTCTAACCTTTAGGTCAGAGATTGGAGACAGCTCATATTTCAGTTACCTAGATGTGTGTGCAAAGAAAAAACTAAAGGGAAGCTAATGTGCGTGAAATGATCTTGAGATTAAAAACAAAAAACAGAGGTAAAGGTACTTCAAACTGAGGTTGACTTTTGGTGACAACATCATTTTCTTGGCCCTGTGACAAAGCTGGCTTGCTGCTAATTTCTTCCAGGATTTTTTTTTTTAACTTCCCACTTTAGTCTAGAGCCCTGGTCCTCCCTGGGGGTCTTCTGTCCTAGCAGTAACCAGGCCCAATGTCGCTCAGCAGCCAAACCCAGACAAGGTCAGCCAGATGTTATCACCACCTGAAAACCCCTCCTAAATTCAGCAGTGGCAGCTTTCAGGTGCGGGGCGGCTTGTGGCCTAATTTTGTAAATCTGGCCAGCTCTAGCCGGCAGGGCCACTGGTGAGGGCTGCTGGAATTGTCCAGCAACATCGAGAGTGCTGCCTCCACTTCTATCTACAGAAGGAAGACCTCCCTTGCTTACCCCAGATTTCCCCAATTTGGTATCCTCGAAATGTGCTGGACTACTATTCTCGCTAACCAACTGGGATGACACTGAGAGCTGACCAGATTTATCAGTATTCATAGTGGGAAGGAAGGGCGGATAGCGACCTATTTACGCAGGAATGGCCTAGAGCGGGAGCAAAGGAGTGGAAGAGGGCAAATCGGCATTGAACGTTCCATTTCGTTCACGAGGCCTCCCGCCCTCTTCGTCCCCACTCGCCCAGGTCCACAACCCATCGCGCACGCGCATTTTAGTCTAGCCAGTAACTCTTTCCTTTCTGTTGGCGCATGCGCGCTTCTCGGCCCGGTTCCGTTATTTCCGAGGGAACCGTGCACGATCTTTTTCACCTTGGTACCATCTTGGTAATCAGGCGTCGGTCCCCGGCCTTCCTGCACCAACCGCTTCTGGATCCCATCCGCCCGGAGCTGCGCGATCAGGTCCACCATGATGGCTTCTCACCGGATTCCGCTTCAATGTAGCCTTCGTGTATTTTGGATTGCCGAACTTTGTTCGTCTTGTTCCGGATGCACTCGTCTTTCCCCGTATCCGGTCTCGGACACATCCGTTAGCTATCGGGAACTTTCGGAAAGACTCGGGCGCAGCGTTTGATCTAACGCAAAGAGGTAGAGTTTCCGAGCGACGAGCGGACCGCAGGGAAGGTGAATCTCTAAGCCGGGGGAGCTGAGACGGCGGGGTGGTGTTACTATTATTCAGCCCTAAATAAACTGAGCAAACTCAGGGAGGCAGTGAAGGACAGGAAGGCCTGGCGCAATATGGTTCATGGGGTCACGAAGAGTCGGACACGACTTAACGACTAAACAACAACAACAAGGGTTCCCAAATCCTGAGGACGCTGAGCCTCGTACCCGCTTTGGCTTTCCCGGACAGGTCTGTCGCCTCTGGGGCTTGCTTCCCCTGCCGGAGTTGCGCTCCCGCTACTTGGGGAGACGAGTTCCGAGCAGGAGTCGGAACGTTTGCGGACTTGCTCAGCCTCGGCTCCGGCGACCAGATCCCCGTCGGTGGGGTTGGCTCAGGACTTCGATGGTCATCTAGCCCACCCCTTGCCGATCCCGGCGATCCGAAGCAGTGGCAGCCCCGCCCCTGCCTCAGTCAGCCCTTCCCACGGCGATCTGCTCCCCTGCCCGTCAGCCAGACAGGGGCGGCCAGAGGGGTGCGTTACTGGGAAAGGTGCTGCCGTTTTCCCCTTCTTAACGAGACTGTGAGAAAGGGGGGGAAAGGGGGAAGCGCTGTTTAGAGTCTGCCCTTTTCTGAGCTTCCCCCAACAACAACATTGAGCTCATCTATTGATTGATGGATTCTGCACCTTTATATCCTGCTTGTCAAGTACTCCAAACACATGAATGAATATACAGTATCTAGAACCACAGGCCACAACAAAATCTGCTGTTCTCTAGTTGCCACGAATAATGCAAATGCATTGGAAGGGGAAAACACATCTTCTAAATAGTGAAGGTGTTTAGTAATAATGCATGGATAAACCCAGAGTGTTTGTGAAAGACTAAGAAAGTGTAACTCTTGCTCCTTTGTTGGCTGAAGATTTTTTTTATCATCCTGTTTTAAATGATCAGAAACTTTTATTGCTATTCTGTACAATAAAAGTTTCTGATCATTTAAAACATGGAAGTAAAACTGATTGCACTTCCAGGGATTGTTTTGAGTGAATACATAGGTTTATGGCTTTTTAAAAAATTAATGTGAGTTCTAGGCTTACCTTAGGCATGAAAAACCGGCTGGGTGACTTTGAGCCAGTCTCTCTCTCTCTCAGCCCAACTCACCTCACAGGGTTGTTGTTGGGGGGAAAATTGGAGGAGGAAGGAGTAATAGGTATGTTCACCACCTTGAGTTATATATAAAAGAGGCAGGATAAAAATATAATAATGCAATAAACATAGCAATAGTATGTAACCGTTACAAAGCATCTAATTTTTCTAAGGAGTGTATAAATATTGACAGATAAGAGAGTTCCTATCTACAAGATCCCTGGCTTACGGACAGAATTCTAAAAGAATAAAGGAAAGAGCAGGAAAGTGGAAAGCAGCCACTGTGTAAAGTTCAAATTCAAAAAAGGAGTTAAGTTCATTAAACCAGTGCAGTGTGTTGATTTTGTCATTTGGATCATCATGTTTTCCAGACTAACTACACATACTGATTTAATTTTTTGTTTAGTTTTGTAAGAAAAAAAAGTTGTTACTTCATGACTAAGCAGTGCATAGAATTCTTCCAAGAAATCATTTGCACCTTCCGGGTAGACCAGTATAAAGGAATACTCTTCAAGGCTAGAATTCTGCAAACCCCTCTGGGAAGAGACATAAAGGGGCATGCAGAGGTGGGCAGAACCATATAGGGAGGAAGAGAAGCTTTGGTTGGATATTGCTGGAGGGGTGGCTCCTTTCCACACTGAAACACAGCAACGTTGACTACTATGACCAAAAAAGCATTTGGAAACGAGGCCGCTTTTTAACATTCAACGTTTAAAATGTTTCTTTGTGTGTAAAGGGGTATGGAATCAAAGGGAAATGGCTCAAGGAATAAAGCAGCCACAGTAACTCTTACTATTTCTCTCTTCCTTTCTCTGGTGATGAGAGCAACTTCTTAGCATCTGTTTTGGCAGCTCAATCTGGAGGTTTAGTTTAATAAGAATAGACACTGGCCTCCAACCTTTTTCCAGCCAGTGCACTTTGTCACTTGCTGCAGGCCCCCTCTGCTGTATTGCAAGATTGTTGTCCAGCTAATACATTTTCATCAATATCAGTTGCATCATGTATTCAGGAATGGTCTCTTCTTGCTTGTCCAGCTTGCAGAACATTAAGATCCCATTGATATCTACCCGTCAAATGCATGTTTTATTTCCAAACAAGCTTTCACTTATGTAAGATCACTTTTCGCAGTTGCCAGTTCTTGCCTCTTTAAGTACTAAGTCCATTTCTGCCATGTCCTTGCTCACTTTTTCTTATTTGTACAGGGAAAGTAACTTCCACTCCCCATGCTTACACAAAAGATGAAGCACCACATTTCATTAAATGATTTTTGACAGACTTATGTGAGGAAAAAAAAACCCCGTCTCTGTATTTTTTTAGCCCATGAAGATAAAGTCTATTAGTTCTACAGCTTCTTTTCTACCTATGTACATTGGATTGGCATTGCCAGTCCAGTTGACATAAACTTTTTTTTTTTTATATTGAATAGCAGATTGGTTTTACTTTCAACAAGAGACTCCTTAAATCTTCCTCACTTCCAGCTATTCAAGTGATATCATAACAATTCATGAAGGGGGATACCATTAATAGCATACGTTAAAAGATTATTATAGAAGAATATGTTAATCTCATAGTCTCCGTAATTCCAAACACTAACAAATCAAATGTTACTGATTTAATTTCATTTTTTCCCAGTATTATACAAAACATCACATTATTCAATTTTAACTTGATATGGAACACCACTAAACAGTGAAGTCCAAAAATCTGATTAATTAGTATTTTAATCTTAAATTCCACCAATGCATGGGTAAAATTTAGGAAAAACCTATGGGAATGTCTACAAACCTGTAAATGTTGACAACATATTTTAAATAATTGAATGTTGAAGAACTCTTTTCAACATAAAAAGAATTTTAATGTTATAAATAAATGCAAATTAGTAAATTTCAGAGTGCAACTATATCAGATTTTATTTGGAGAAACAAATCCAAACAAATTGGGTGAGATAATCAGGTACTAAAGACATTTCTTACCTGGGTTGCTGTTAGATTTTGGACTAATCCTGCACCTATGAATTACATTTTGGCAGTGGATATTTTATTCAAGGAGAGTGTTACATACTTTTAAGTATTCATAATGAATCAGAGTACTTCTGAGATATGACCAAAGTTGGCTCCTAAAGAGAATGGATGCCACTTACATTTTTTCAATCTTAGATTGTTTTATTTATGATTCTCTTGCTCCCTCTTACTGTCCTGGTGTTTTAGCTGTCTTATATTTTTCTTCCTGATCACTCCAATAATTAATTGTTTTAATTTATTCTCTCCTTCTCTTACTTAACTGGGTTCTTAAAGTACTCACAATAATGGCTGGTATGAGAGGGACAAGCACTCCCAAATTGCAGTGGGACATTTCTGGGCGGATTCAAATCTCAGGATGCTGATGTACTATTTATAGGTGCAGAACGGTAGCTCCAGAGGGGGTCTTTAATTTCTCCCTTTCCACAGGCTGCCAGAGAATATATCCCTTCAGCCATGTTGGGAATTCAGTTGACGTAATAGGAGAGACCCAGAGAAGCACAGATCTGAAACTTTTTTCATAGCAGGAGCAATAGTATCTGTTAGAATACTGGGCCGCTAGTCAGAGACAACTGACTCTGGTTTGCAACAGATTAACATAAGGAGCTGTTAAATCTGTGAGGATTTACCTCACTGGAGTTCATACTAGCAGATTAAATGGGAAGACTTTGTAGTTGCATTGAGTTAGAGTTTGCATTTCAGCTGGCTGAAAATCTATCGAAGCATCTTACAAGTTGGATCTATAGTTAAAAGGAAGTATCATCAAATTCACTGTTTTATTTCCGAAGATTTATAGGTTTGCAATCATGGCCTTTAATTATTTGTATTTTATTTATAATTTGCATTAGATGTCTGTTTTGTGATGGAGTTATCAGAATGTTAGCTTCTTTGAGCATATTGGAACAGCAGCGTATTACCTGTTCTTATGCATAGAAATACAAGTCTCCTTATGGCTTTAACATTTACACATGCATAACAACATGGGACTTGCTTTCCCTGTGGCACTTTTCTATTTCAGTATCAAGAGATTTCCCTTATCTATTGGGGAATTTCCAGACATGGATTAGAATGACACTCATTTCATTCTCGGTACTGGAAGAACAAGAATAGGGAAGGTTTAAGGATCTGCCAGAGTTCCACTCCTCATAATTAGAGAATCGGTGCTTTTGTTCTGTAGAAGTGACTCCTCCGCCACTTCAACCTGCTGCTTTTCCCACTGTTCCATGCAGAACTCGGGAAAATAATTACATACTTTTTTTGGACATAGCAAGTTATTGCGGTAGAGTTATTCAGGTTTTATCTCTTATGTTACTCAAAGACTTGATTAAAAGCAAAATACTGATCAAATGAGTCTTCACTGAGGGAGTTGATCTCCCTCACCAGCTTCTAGCTGCCCTTCCAAGATCACCTTTAAGATGTGAAGGAAGAAGAGCTTTTGGGGCATACGATGAGTTTTTATTTTGACTGTTGAAAAACAGGTAGAGCTCTCCGACAATTTCAGGTTTTGTGGTCAACATGTAGCATTTGAATAGCCACTTGTGCTTTATGGTATTTACTCTGTCCTTGTTTCAAGATTACAAGTACATATTTCTTTCAGAATTTTACATTCTCTGAACTTTAAGCATAAGTTCAAAGGAAAGTTTGCAGCTTGTCAATGCCAGGGTTCAAACTAAGGAGAAAGAGAGGAATGTCTGTAATTGAATCCACATCCTATTTCCCCACATCCCCAATTTCAGTCAAGTCCTAATCTCCCTATAACCAGTAACTAAGGAGGCCTGGAGGTTCAATGATGTGAGCAATATCTAGAGGTAACTACAGGAAGAAATGAGTGAAATATGTTTTCTACAAGTCCCAGTGTCACATATGAAACAACTTTGCTTCCTTAATTATGAAGTATCATCTTTGGTGTATTGTCGAAGGCTTTCACAGCCATCATCTTTGGTCTTCAGACTGACAGGGAGAGACACTGATCAACAGCCCTTTTTCACAGCCTCATTTGCTCACCGAGTCATTTTTCCTAG